TCAAAATCGTCGTCCGTGAGATTCGAACTCTAGACCTGCCGCTTGGGGGTGCAGCAACCCCACCACTTCACTAGGTCACCACACTTCAATACTTATTATGATTAGATTTTTAAAAATTAATTTTATATATAAAATATTTATACTAATTTAGATACACTTTTTTTTATCTAATATACAAAATTGCATTGTATTTTTTTTTAAAATATAGTTTTAGACTAGCTCTTTACTGTAATAGAACTATTTTTGCAACAAACTTTATAAAATAAAAATAGATTTTTTTAAAAGTTTATTGCAAAACTGGCTCTATTATAGCATGGAGCTAGTCTAAAACTACAAAAATTATAATAGAATTTTGTTAGTTAAATAAAAAAAAGTATATCTAAATTAGTGTGAATTCATATATAAATTTGTATGTGAAATTAATCTTTAAAAAATCTAATTATAGTAATTAAATTATAGGATATAAAGAAGGGCCAGAAAACACGTGTTTTCTATTTTATATAAGGCTACCCCTCCTCCCCCTAGGTGATCTCTAATTTTTTTTTTTATATATATAGATCTGTTATTTTTAAAAGGACCCCTTCCCTTAAAATAGCATGTGTTTTCTGGCCCTTCCCTAACTATTATTATTTGATTTATTAGAGTATTGCATATTAGCTATAAACATTTCTAAATTATGCAGATTAGAATAACCAGATTAGTACGGTATGAGATAAGAAATATCTCTAATTTTAATGCCTGTTCCAATGTTATATATTATTTGAGTTAGTATTAGAAAATTATAGTGGATTAGAGTGATATGTTTTTAAAGAAGTATTTCTACACTCTATATAATATATATCTTAAAATTTTATAAATTTTTTGCTGTTTAAATTATAGCATCTCATATCAACATAGTTATCAAGCCAAAAAGGTTTCGTCTAACAACTATAGCCATGACTACGTCACAGCATTTTTGATAGTCACCCTGGATGGTTACTATACAGTAGATAATGAACTGCATTTAATAACCAGTTATATAAATTCCATAACTAGTTTCATGTAATTAATTAAATTAGTTTATGTGGTTAACTGCCCCAGATGTAATGTGGCTACGTATATTTACTATGATGTAACCCATACCTTTTTTGAATTTTTTTTGGTCGGAATTTTGAGATGACATCGATATTTAAAAATATAAAATTGACAAATACGGTATTTGAGACTTTGTTACCTTTGTTACAACAAAATTTCATACCAGGCAGAAAATACCTATTCATTCCCCGTTCATGCAGCTCATTGTTTCAAGTTTTTTTTTTAGTAATTTGAATCAAAACAGATATTTTTGAACGAAAAGCATTCACATGGTGTTTATTTGGACTATGCCGGAGGTGATATTTTATTGAATATAAGATTTGCAGAATACATGACAGAAAGCGAGCCGTTGACCGAATTGGTCAGAACGGTAGAGGCCTCCCACGACAGAAGCAATCGTACTTGCACTGGGAGTCTCTGTAGGACTAGCCGGTGGGGTTATTCCCCGCCTGCCAAAACAAGACGGCTGTGAATGAAGAAATGATGGAGACACGTGACTTCTTGTTTGGGAGGGTTGGGTGGGTAGCGAGAGTCTCGCCCTGTTGGAATCCGTTGTCACTTGTACCTATACCCCGCTTACCTGTTTCCTAATACCTGATTGTGTCAGGCATGTGAGTTATCATTGTTTCCCCTTCTGTTTGATCTTCCCACGCCCGACCTCCTGCTTCTGCAGCTGTCCTGTGATCTTCACGCGCGGGTCAAGCGCCGAGTCTACGGACAGTTCATGCTGACTAACATTAACTAAATCCACCTACACTGACTCTAACCCTAACCCTAATTCTGGCCACTGAACTGTCCCTAAGAACTGTCCGTAGCTTGTGATGACCACCCGTGACAGCGCATGTGGCGGAAGATTGTGTGGCTGCTCCTTTCGATCACGTGATGTGCCACCACTTCACATGAATAGGTATTTTTATCCTGTCCAAACTAGTTTTGAGGCTCGACACATGAAGATTTTAGTTATGTTACTAGTACTAACCTTAAAAAGTCTGGATCATTCCATTTGAACCCAGTATCAATATAAATGATGATTCACACAAAAAATTAAAAAATTCTAGTTTGCAAATATATCGACTATGCTATTATTTAAACAAATATTAACAAAATTTTTGAGATAGTTTTCCTGGAGTTTATGATTAGAGCGGTCAAGCTACGATATGTGTATTTACCATGTATATAGTAAGATAATATTAGTGATAGTGCTAAGAATTTCCTTTTGGACGTACGTGCGTACGTACAGTCAGTTCCTGTTATCGTTATACTGTAGTTATGAACCTGAAATAAGTAGGGATTGCACATGATTTAAATCACAATGTTATAAATCACTGATTTTTTATTTAAATCAATTTAAATCTTTTATTACGTGATGTATTTGGAAGATATAAATATATTTTTTAAACGCAATGGTTATTTTTAAATCATAAAAATCGATTTAAATCGTGATATATTAGAGATAAGTAAAATCATCATCATAGTGCCATCATGTGTAACCACAGCATGCATACTATAATGGAAGATTGGAAGATCGCATCGCAGCACATATAAACCCAGTTTTAACATTCACTGAATACCAAGAAAATGAGTAAACCAGTTGTATATGAAGACATTCCAATCATCGATATTTCACAGTTTAAAACAGATCAACAAACTTGTGTTCAACAAACTAAAGATGCTTGTGAAAATTTAGGCTTCTTTTATGTGAAAAATCATGGAATAAGTCAAGAAAAAATTGCGGAAATATTTGATATTGTTGCGTATTATGAGTGATTGGTTTTTTTAAAAAAATTTTTTTCATGTAAAACATTATTTAACATTCTTTTTATTATTATTATTATTATTATTGTTGATTTTACTTTTAAAATAGTCCAAACTTTACTTTGAACAACAGCCCCAAGAAGCAAAGTTGAAGTATTCTATGAACGAACGTTATCATGGATATGCCGCAATGTGTACAGAAAATCTCGATACCAAAAGAACAAATGGTGACGTCAAAGAAAGTTTTACTTTCGGTGAATTTAATGATAATAATGAAGCAATTACGCAAGTCTTACCACCTTTCTTTGAGGAAAGGGCAGAGTTTATTGCGTCATTTTACAAGGTAAAATAGTACGATTTTTCTCATGCTTTTTCTTGAATTTTTTTTTACCTAATATTTTTCTTAACAATAGGATTGTCATGACTTGTGTTTGAAAATTTTTCAAATATTGGCAACTGCATTAGAAATTCCACAATCTGAAGGTGGAATGCACTGGCTTGAAGAAAGACATCGTTCAAATGCTAATACTTGCATGCGTTTTCATCATTACCCTTCTATGGATAAGTTTGATTCTGATGAGATACGTGCTGGAAGGTATGAAATATTAGAAAATATTAACCAAACAAATATTAATTATTAATGTTTTTTTTTCATGATTTTTATTGATTTCATTATTTAGTCATACAGATTATGGTTCAATAACAATCCTCTTTCAAAAAGATATTGGTGGTCTAGAAATTCAACCACCTGGCACTGATAAATGGTTTCCCGTTCCAATCATTCCAAATCATTTATTGATCAATATTGCTGATTGCTTAAGTTTTTGGACAAAAGGTTTATTTAAATCTATTATGCATCGAGTTTCATTTGACAATGAAAATTTTGGCTTAAATAGATATAGCATTGCGTATTTCTGTATCGCTGGACCTGATGTTAAATTAGATCCAATTCCTTCAAAGTTTATACCCACCAGTGAAAATAATAAGGACGAAAAGGTTTTAACTGCTGGGGAGCATTTGATGCGTAGAGCTAGGGCCGCTTATGGTAGCGGTTATTGAGTAAATGATAGAATATAATCATATACAGTAACTTTTTTTTTATAAATTCAAGTACTGTATTACAGTAATACCTCCCCATATAAGTGCACGCCCTCTCTAAATGCAACTGAAATTCTGGCCATAATATATATCTAACCTTTATAAATGCACTTTTTTTTATTGTTCTTTAAGTGCGAGTTGTTAAAATTTGGTCCTAAGAGCATGTACTTATAAGAGTTTTACTTCATTAAAATATTACTTTGATTGATACATAAATTAGTTCATAAACTAAGCTGTTAATCTAGTACTTTTATATACGTAATTTAAGATCAGGCGAATATAAATATTATAGACTTTAGCAAGTAGTTATTTTTCTGTTTAATATGGAAATACGTATGATACTGTTTTCTATAAATCGAGTTTTTAAGTGCTTTTGAAGGTATTGTATTAATTGCTGATCCGGATAAGTCCAGCAAAATTTCTATATTAGAATTTGGGGCAAAATTCCTGATATTAACTATATGCTGGAATCTGAGCGGAGTCAAATGAAAAGGATTTTTTATTATGTTAACAACCAAAGTCAATTAATTGAAGTTGTAGAGCTCACAGAGACGCATCTAATGGAGATATTATTAAAAAATGCTTGGCCGACTATATAAAATTCTATATCAGTCTTCCGATTTGTCACATCACAATTTTTATCATATGATTTTCATAGATTACACAAATCGTCAAATTTACTTTTTTTTAATTTGTTTAAAAAATCTTAGTTAAAGAATACAAATTTTTTAAAACAAACTTGTTACTGGGGCTTTTACGAATCGAATGGTATAATTATTATATAAAACAAACTTCTCTAACTATAATATTACATTTTCAAATATAGACAATTATTTTGTCTACTTTTGGAAGATTCTTCTCTAGCTTATAATTTTCTAAGATAAAAAGTAGCTTTTTAGATGTGCCAATACAAGATCTTTTGTCAAAATGCATGTACAAAGGGTTAGTGTATTTTAAGCATTATAGAAAAAATTAACAATAACTATTTTATAGTAAGTAGATTGACTTTTTAATTCAATACCACTTATAAAAATTTTATTTAACAACAGATCCAAATGTTCTGTTTATCTGAAGATAATTAGAAATGCAACATGACCAAAATGCTCTATAATTAGAAGTAGAATAGTTAAAATATAGGAAGTTGTATTGGATAAATGCAGGATTAAAAAATGAGCAACTCAAGTGAATTATTGTTTTTTTTCGTTAATTTATTTTATAGAAAACTATGGAATTTTCTTTACAGAATTTTTAAAATAATCAAGAAAAACTAAGCTAAAGAATTTTTTATTATTTTATTTTTCATTAATTATTTTTTATTAATAATGATTTTTATTTGCAAACTAGAAAATTTGAAGTATATGTACATTTCTCATTTATAGCATGTGGTCTAGAATCTAAAAAAGAATTACTTATAATTAAAGTAAACTTTTTTCAAGTATTTTATATGGGAAATATAACAAGAAGAGCATCTATGATAATTTTATTTTATTTATTTTATCATCTTTATCTTGATTATTTTTTTGTTTTTGATCTTATTTTTTGGTTTAAGGCTACTATAGTATCTTTAACCAAATATTTAGCTGTTCTTTCCTTTGAATTTTTATTCTTAGTTAAGTAAACTTTTTGTTTAAAAAGATCTTGTATGCATCCTATTCTATGCTTATAACAAGTTTCTATTTTAAAATATCTTTCTGGTATATTTTGAGTTGTATATTCAAAAAGAAAATAGATATTAGGATTTGGATTTTGAAATGTATTATATATTTGTTTACTTAAGGATTATAATTGTTCATGTTGATTTAGTGTAGTATAGTTTTCAATATTTATTATTTAATTAATAAATTCATCAAAGACTGTTAATTGATCAATTTTATCTTGGTTTTCTTGTATTTATTGATTCAAGTTTTTTTATCTTCAGATCTTCCTGTTATTACTTGTTTAACAAACTTGATACTATATGTTTCTAATGCTTTATTATATGCTAAATAATATTCTTTATGTGTAATATTAATAGATAGCACTTGATATAATCTTTTCTGAAGTTAAAAGTTTTTATACAATTTTTCTAAAAATATAGCAACCAATTCTGTATATTTAAACTTGCTAATAATTAGAAAAAGTAGTGTAAATGCAGCAAGGTATGCAATTTGCAAGTCAAAGTCTTTCTTTTGAATTCTAATTTTGTGTGCTTTTTAATAACCAGCTTATTGATAATAATTTAACCAAACTTTTAAAATATTATTAAAATTATTTTCAATATTGTTAATAGTTTTTTTTGTATTTTACAGATAATAGTAAATTGCAATTCTGATGGCTGCCCAAATTAATTCAAGAATAGAATAAGTCATATGATAATTAGATTCTGTTTTTAAATTTTCTAAATATCAAACACCAAAATAGACTTCTAAATTAAAAATTTCATATTCAAAAAGGCTTCAATTAAAACTTGACATACTATATGTCTTTTAAAGTATACTATCTAAGAATAATATTAGTAGTAGGGGTTTGCAAGTAGGCATGCTGGGTTTATTAGCACTAGGCTATATACTAGAGTTTCCTTATGTCAAGAAAATGATCTACATCCAATATAACACCCAATTTTGATAATATTATATCCATATATTATTTATTTTAGTATAAAAACTCTTTCTATAAGTAAAATTCAATGCTACGCATTTTTTACTTAGAAATTAAGGCCAGTTTCCATAGTAAAAT